GAATCTTTATTACGCCTGACGTTTCGACAATCTCGTCGTTTTCAAAGGCCTGAAAGCACACCGAAAGTCGTGAAATACGACCTATCCTGTTTAACACGGACCCGCCTTGACTAGTTGCAACACTGACCAAGGGACTACAACGAAAGGAAATTCCAACAGTAGGTTACCTCGTCAGTTCCACCAGCGCCGATGCTCTGCTCAACTTTAAGAACCGATAGAGCAAATGAGACTCACTTCTATGCACTGCCATAGTGATAGAGTGCGTGCAGTACATCCCGTTCTCACTGTTAAAGACCGCACAGCGGAATGTACGGTAAGAAATCAGCAGTTATTGAGATGCACTCATTCCTGTTGTTCATGGATGGATTGCGGTGCTTTATCCAGAACGCTTCGAGGGTTTTCCTAGCACCGACATCATTTTCGTAGGCCAATATAGTGCATTTAACGTCAAAATCACAGCCGCCATGATTTTCCCTTCTATGCTTGCCAAGCGGTGCAACTAAACTTTCCCGTCTTTTGCTAGCCAGATGTTCCTTAACGCGTATACCTAACTGCCTCCCAGTTTCACCGATATATGAAGCGCCACAGGTCAACATTGATTACGGCCCACTTCACCCACCTTCCCATACGGACAGATCACGCAGTTCTCCATGGTGCAGACTCGATCATAGAGGCGATTTCTGACCAACTGGTGTTTTATATTGTCCCTTGGTGTATTTACCAAAAGAACGTCGTTGGCCAGATCTGCTCTTCGGAGGCACTGTTGTATAACTGCGGATAAACTGGTCCGCAGTTATACAACAGTGCCTGGCTCTGTTGTATAACTGCGGACGAGTTTACCGCAGTTATACAACAGAGCCAAGCACTGTTGTGTCAACTGGCTAGATCTATATGTATACGTTCCCGGCCCTCGGCGCTTGGGGACGGTGGTAGACGCTAGCGGACGCTAGTAAACGCTGGTGGACGCTTGCAGACGCTAAACTTATATCTACACTTTCCTAGTCACTGACGTTGCGAAGGCTGGTGGACGCTACTGGCGCTGGTGGACGCTGCCGCAAAGATGAAGACAGCCTAATTTCTCTCTACCTCTGGCTGTGTATTCGCTAGGGTTTTGGTATCGGAACAAGTCCTTAAGTTTTAGACAGCGTGGCCGGTTTTGCAGTATTCCGAAAAATAACATCGGTGTGAGCTGGTGCGAATGTCGCGCACGTGAGCTTATATGCAAGCCAATTCTGCTGTACCGTTAAACTAATAATGTGCATACTTCCCTCTGGGATGGGGAAAATCATCCTGGTTAACGGAACTTCGAGCAGTCAGTAAAAATCGAACAAGCAAAACAATCTTACAATGGAGGATGTATGTCACTTTGAACCACTTTTTTAGATATGGGCCCAACACTTCGTGAAAATCCTGATAGTATCGCTACTGGTACCGTTAATATTTGTGTGGTTCGTACTACCTTGTCGAAGCTACGCTCAAGTTGATAAGCCGGATGGAGGACTTGAAATTGAATACGAAAAAGTTTTCACTGTAAGCAGACTAGCGATATTTGCTTAAGCCAAAACCAGTGGAAACAATAAGAGAAGTATTTCAGCTCAGCGCCTCATTACATTCTGCGATAGCAGCTATTATATTTGGACCTCTCACTTTACTCTGCACTATCATTATTGCCGTCAAACTCTTCAACGCGAAACTCCAGCGCTTATGTCCAGCGGAGAAAACTATGTTTGTCTTTGAAGTGTTCTTGGCTTTGACTACGCTGATGTATGCAACAACACAGGTATGTGGCGATCCCCCAACACCTCAACTCTACTTTCCCATAGAATCTGATGATGAGCAGAAGAAAACTTGAGAAATTAGAAAATATACCCCACGCCTAATGCAGGAAGGGGGCCACTCGGTTTACTGCGCTATTCTCGCAAAATCCTCAGGGGCTCATACCACTCAAAGACAGTTTCCGCGCTCATGCGATTCGTGGGCGTCCTTCATTGTATAAGTCTGTGTATCAGTCACTGAGGTTATCATTTCGCGGTTTCATAGTAAGTGACGAAGACGCTGTAGACTTCAAAAGTGGCAGTTCTGACGCCTCCCTAGTTGTCCCGCTCACCGAGACTCAAAGGCAATTTCTGCCATGAGTTCGTTCCTACACTTTTTTTCGTTTTTTTCTTTATTAAATGTTACTGGCAACGGAAGAAGGAACGTTTATTGAATCAGGGGCGACAAGATACGCTTTGCTGGCAGCAGGTCCGGAAAACTCGTCCGGGAAGGCTGCCCTCTCCTTTTTTAGGGTGGTCTACATAACTTTTTTGATTTGTTCCCTGAGAGTTTTTCTTCCTGCGAATGCTTTCGCGGCGTCCGCCGCGCTAGCACAAAAAGAACCACTTCCGTCAAAGGGGTGAGATTAGGCGGTCACAAGGACTTACACGGTACGTGTATGCACTTTATTGCCTGTAGGTTGCAGAACTATTTCAAATGCTCGTGACAGAGAATTTTTGCATGTCGACTCTTTTGCGAGCTCATTGCTTGTTCTGCTTTCCCACGATACGTTTTCTGCAAAGAAGCAAGCAATCACCCCACTCTGCAAGGGAAGAATGCGTTTTAGCGCTGCTCAGATTCAGCAGTGATACAATCGAGCTGGTGCAAAAACTCGTCGTGCACTGTTCACCGTAGTTCTAACTTCATGCACAGCGTTTTCGAGAGCCACCTTCCGTTCCAACGTTTGCTTTATTTCTAGGAATAAAGACTTTGGTAGTAGAGGATCCGAATGAACGATCTGTGGGCAAGGGAGGCCGCGGGGTATCGAGTTGCCAGCAAGTCAACTGCCAGCAAGGGGAACTCGTGCAATGAAGCTGTGTGCTTGTCAGAGGGGGCTTTATTTATACTTAGGATACTTGTCGACCGCGAGGCCTCCTTCCCCCTCCCTTTTTTCTTCCTCCCTTCTTTTCTTTCTCTCTTTCTTCTCTCTCCCCTCTTGCTTTTCCTTCTCATGCTCAACCAACAGGTGATATAATACCACTGGAGCTCTCAGCGAGAGAATGTTTGGTTGATAGAAGCCCTGTACCCTCACTTAAGGCGTTCTCAAAGTCTCTTCCTGCTTTTTCTTTCCTGGGAAGTCATTTTCCCCACTTAAAATTGATCGCGGAAATTGCCTTTAAGAGACTCATAGACACCTCGTTATGCTTGCGATTCTATCTAGTATGAGTAAAAATGGAAGGGTGACGCAGTGGCAAGTATCTCCACGTACATGGTCCGTGAGTCGAATATTGGCTCTCCATACCGAATTCACCTACGAGCGTAAGACAATGAATTCCACATGGGATGACCCAAGCAAATAATTACAACCAAATCAAATGCCAGTTTCAAATAATGGTGGTACATACCAAATTGGGACTGATCAACGCCGGAACCTTCATCCTTCGGCGTTCCAGAGCAGAAAAGACTAGGCTGCTAGACTCAAATACCTTTTCAAAAACTAGCGCAAAAAAAATTTGTTTCAGGCACTTCTGTATTCCTCCAAATACCTATTCAAGGACGCGGGTATGCAAAACGCAGTATTGTTCTTCAGAAATTTCATAATCGACGTTTTTATTTTACCTAATGCATGGACACTTCCTCTTTTATGCACTACAGTTAGACGTTTTTATAAAAGAACACTGCTGAGAATGACTAGGAGAGATAGCAGGACACAAACGACGCGATTTTCGAAAGGATAAACCGCCTTATGCAATAAATATTTATGAGAAACTCGTTGAAAAGCCTTGATTCTCAACTGATTCTTTATAGACACCAGGTGTCACTGCCGAAGGGGTGCTGTCAGTCTTACACAGCAAATCACTGCATATCTCGAAAGCACAGTAGCCAAGATGCAGTGCTATTTCCAGGTGTAATTGAAATAATATATGTATAATCTGCTGTGTGTGTCGTGAAATTCATAGAGAGCCCGTTCCAGTAGTGAGGGGAAGTTGGTTTCAAGAACTGTTATAGTAGCTGTGACAGGAACAGCTACTGTTACTACTGAGTAGTGACAGGACAAGACAGCGTAGCAGCTGACAGGATCTGATAATGTGGAGTTAGACATGGAGGGTCACCAAACTCGTAGTGCCGTTGCAGAAGGCGTGGAACGTTGGTTCCAGCAGGTGACATAGTGATTGTAACGGGAACTTCTATCCTATGGCTGACAGAAGGTGATAGCAACTGATTGAGACTGTTAAGGGCGGTGCCGCAGTCATCTTTCTTCAAGGCGGTAAAGCTAACAAAAAGGACAGCTCTGAGCCAGCAAAAACGTAAAGTAAAAGGTGGTATCGACGAAGTGACAATAAAAGATTCGCAGAAGCCCAACACACATGTGTCAAATTACTGCAAAATGTATCATTCTCTTCTGGTTGATAAGGCTCTCGTCTTTTGCGAGGGCTGAGAATCCACAAAGCAGAAGAAACTGAGATACAGGAAAATGAGGGAGGATCTACGTATAGCTCCAGGGATGCGAGATTCCGTAGTACTGCCAATAGAAAACAATCGCCTCTCATACAAACCCTTCATCGCCAGTTCTCCCAGACAGCACGATTACCACACTCGAAAGCTATGAGCGGTGCTCTAACAGAGAATATTTGTTCTTTGAACAAGAACAAACTTGCTGTAAAGAACCAACCTTACAAGGATCACTGTTTTCGTGTCAAACACTTCCCGAATGAACTTGCCCAATTTCCCCGTAACTCCCGTATCTTGAACGTGTCACCAAAAACATAAATAATCGAATGAAAAAGCAATCGAAGTACCTACCCTTGGTTCATCTGCTACTTTAATCACATGGCTTTCAGTACGTCCCCTAACATCCCACACACGTACAGTTCCGTCAGCTGAGGCACTTAATAATTGATCACTTGAAGCTGACGCCAATTCACAAACGGTTGATGAATGTCCGGAGAAAGACCGCAGGGGCTAAAATTTAAACTACTTACAGTCTTGTTCAATGCGGACGATAGAGGCCGTCAAGAGAGTACGGGTTCCGCGCAGCGCCAGCCCTTTTTTTCTTTCGACAAGCAGTCAGAGTGCAAAAACTGGTGGAGTGTGTACCGGTGGCGCGCCTAACCCAGCCTCACTGACACGCCCTATCAACCGCAGCTAACAGTTGTATAGTAAGCATGAAGAACACTAATCGGCAAGGTAAGCAAAGAATACCTTGTGGGGTACATTGACATCAAACTCTCTGACCGCATTATCTGCTGCTCCACCGACATAAAGACGTTCTCTTTCATTGCAGTACATCAGACCATTGACCTCGTGTGGACCAGGAACCGAGCACTGTGCACCTGGAAAATCTTCCCAGATGAATACGTCAGTTACTTGCGTATTAAAAATATAAGAAAACCCGATGAATCACAAGACAAGACAAGTTACCATCGAACGCGCCGAAGCAGAACAGGGTTTTCGGTGGAACATCTGTGCGCTTTATCAATTCGGACCAATCGTAAGCAAAAATACGACCTTTCGAGTCACCACAGACCTGAATGCGGTATAAAAGCGGTAACTGACGATGGCTATATTCAAAACGACAGCGCTTCAATGAATGATAGAATTGCAATGTGGTGGCTGAATGACCTGCCCACAGAGACACTTCACATCACCGTTTGGGGTTGTGCGATATCGGAAAAAGGAGGTGGGGCATTTTACATTCGCTGGTCCACGCTAGGCAAGCTTCGCGAGAATTTACGGATTTCATTCTGTTTATATTGCTATGCCACTCGAGGTTTTTAGGTGGAAATCTTTATTTTACGGCCTAACGTTTCGACATGGTCGTCTTCTTCAGAGGCCTAAACAGCTGAGTACCACTTGGTGCCCCCACTAAGCCTAACTGCGCCCACTGTTGTCGCTAGATGTACAGACTACGACCTAGGAAAGGTAGCCATTTTATTCTAGAAGGCCCTGAAAATGTCAACATATCCGCTGAAAGTGGCTACTCTTCGTCAAAGCCAGTTCCTCACTCTGATGTAAAGCCTACTTTAGCAGCGTCACTTGAAAGCTTGTGAAGCCAACCGTTTTCCACCCGTTATTGAAGCGAACAAGTGGCAGGACTGTATCATATCGTTCGAAGCATACGTTTTTTACCAAGTGTTGTCGCATTCTAGCTTCAAAAACTGGCAAAGAATGGGTTTAGCACCGTGGCCCAGTCCTACCTGACAAGTCCCTTCATCCGGGCGAACTAGATATACATTAGATAAAATGAAGCCTTAAGTTGTAGGCGCTGAAGGTATAAGAGAAACTAACCAGCATATGGTCCACAGTTTTCATTGCGAAGACTGCATCTCGGACTTGGATGAAGTGCGAAAGACACCGACTCTCATCAGAGGCACTGGATGAGAGGCAATCTGACAACTTAAAGAGGCAGATGCGGCAAAGATTATCACTAGCAGCTAGCCAGCTTTCTGAAAAACGTTCTGAGATGCACTGTAATCTATTTACCTAGAACACAACTGCGTTACATAGCAACAAAATGAACGCTAAGGTAGTTCAGAGGGCAGCCACGAAGCGACAAGACGAAGTCCGCCGCTGTGTACCTCAAGGACAGGTCACCCACAAACTTTACTTTACATTTTATTTTCAAGGTTGTCTTGCGAAGTGAAGGTATCGCTTCGTCGCGCCGCCACGTGACCCCTCATAGCGCCCCGAAATAAACAGTGAAGTCATGAAAGCTCTCTGCCTTACACCTACCATCCGGTGAAGCAGCTAACCGATATATCTTCATGTAGTGTCGCAATCTGGCATTACTGGGGTGTACGTTCCTTGGAGCTGAGACCATTGTACACCTACCGAAAGTAAAAAAAACCGTACAAAATCGAGGCCCGTAAGAAGAGACCTATAAGGAAAAAAATATCGGATACGGCACTTCACCTGTGAGTTAACAAATTGGCAATTTCCAGTTCACTCATTCATCATGAAAGATTTATTGGGCATTATCACAGATCAAGCGGTAAAGTGATGATCTATTATTTCCAGCAGAATAACAGACACGGTCATTAAAAATATGTACATACTGAATAATTCAATGGAATGAAACAACTATTCATTCTTTTCAGACATTTCCTTAAAACTCAGAACATTAGGGGGACAATCTTTAGTGTCGTCCTGTTCCATATGCTTGATTACAAAGTATAAATCTGCAAAAAATACTATGGTCGCTGGGATAAGACCTATAATGAATCGAGTGGAGATATCCAGATGTAAATGAGGATATGCAAATTGAACACCGGAGAATCCAAAGAAAAAAGCGCCGACAACTGTTATCACAATGTTGATGATGTTTATCAACTGCCGATTCACAGCCTGAAGGGAGGAAATCAGCAGAAAATCAATTACGAGAAAGCTACCAAATGATAGAAGTAGCTTGATAAGCCTGCTCTTAAGAAAAGCCTCTACAGATCTGCTACGGTCATATTCATGACCAATACCGTGAAAGGGACTTACCCGAAGCTCTGCTCCGAAATTCTCCATATGATCGATCTTTCCGTACTTCTGACTGGCATCGACGGATTGAATAATCTTTTTGTATTCCATGTTCTCTTGCTTCCGACGCAGCGCTTCCGTTTGGCTCTCTAGAAAGGTTATGTAAAAAGCTCAAAATCCGACAATTAAAAAGTATGAGCCCGTTCTGTTTTTGGCCGACAAGAAGCTCCCACCAATCTTCGGAAAATAACAGGCTTCGCAAAAAACAGTCAGCGGATTTCTTTGCGATTAATATCAAATTCAGACAACTCACCGAAATTCAGCCGAGGCTTTGTAAACGACATCTTCATGATGGATCGTAAGATTGTTCAGGAACAAAAAGAGAGGCGCCTCTTGTGGTAACGCGTTCTGGAACCAACGCATAATTGGTAGCCAAGTTAATAAAGAAAAATGGGACAAATGTAACCTAGCTTTGTGAGATGTAGAAGAATCTACAAAAAAGGGCATCAGACGTGCAGCATGGGAACGGTTTCACAGCCATTAGCAGGCTGAGTTCTGGGTCAAATAGCATTAGCCGGGACCAAGATCAAATTCACGTCGAGGAATGTTCGACGGGGTAGGTCGTACTCGGTGAGGAGAGAGGCGTGCATGTTTGGTCTAATGAAATCTTACAAAATTGTTAAATTCTTCCGAATCAATAGCGCTATACCGCACTCCCTCCTACTACTTGGCGGCGGCGCAAAAGCATCATTTCTGGTAGCTTGAAGGTGATGCCCATCGCGAGCCCGACAGCCATTGGAGGGCCTATGATTGATCTTGGCCGGGACTTCTAAGGAAATCTCAAGATTTCAGGCACTGTTCGAGGGGCGCGGGGGGGGGAGTTGCACCAATTCTTGTTCCCTTTGCCAGCTCATGTCAACTAATAGGTCTTAAGTTGGTCAGACCTGTAAACTCTTGTGTATACCCCCCCCCACAACCATCATATGCGAGATGGCAGAAATGAGCCATTCTGGTTACAGGGCTACAGGAACTTACAGATCTTGACAAGGTGGGTGACCCCACCAAGAAGTGGTACGTCCGCATAACCTACTGTTATAATCCGCTAAGTTTGTCCGTTGGTAAGCATGCGTACGGATTTGACCGGAAATTTACAATTTCCTCGGATCTGACCGCAGATACACTCTAGTTCGCTGCGGACGGTTGGGCGTGTCAGGCAATATGATGATGTGTCACACCGTCAAAGCCGTTCTCTGCCTTCTTGTTGAAGCGCGCATGCGACAAAAAAGTGGTAGAAAACGAGTAATACGAACGATATGATACAGTCATATCATTTGCTCGCTTCAACAACTGGTGAGAACGGGTTTGGCACCGCAAACTCATCCCGCCTGACACGCCCAACAGTCCGCAGCGAACTAAACTATGGGAGGAAGGGGTTTATACAGTTAATAGAGCGGCGAATTATCTTGGCATAGACATTGGAAACGAATGTCACCTTTCGAATTAAAATTGGTGCAAGAAAAAACCC